GGTTTCAACTACAAAATTATGTTTAAGTTAAAAATGCAACTCAATATAAAAAGCAATTCTCACCAAGCGAACTCTCCCCTAACTCCTCCTCCTTCTCTCCTCCATTTACAATGCTAGTAAATTAACGAGATGCTGTTTTACCTCTGGTCTTTTTAGATTGAGTGACTCTGAAAGGTCCTTGGACAAGTTGGAGAGAAGAGAGGCCTGTCAAGTAAAGCTGTATTTCCAAGTAAACTGGACAGGTAGGGGCTCTTGGGATCAATTTGAGCCTCTGAATAACAAATTTAGCCTTATTCTGACTGACAAAACAGGTCATATCAATTATATCAATCACTTGTCAATCAGAGCATTCTGACTTTTCATTTTCATACTTGAATTCCATAGCATTCCTGCCTCCTGGGCTCTCACATACTCACAGTTTTAAGATGTTTCTAACATAGCCCTTAGTAGTTTTAAAACCTGAAAATGTAAAAGTCAAAATGCCCCGTATCAAAACGGAATGCCAAAATAATTGTTAAAATGGCATGGGCCAAATAGCTACATAATCATTTACAAATTCTAAAGTAAAATGTGTCATCAACAAGAGTAACAGCACACAGAAATGTAATACATTCAGATACTGTTAACGCCTAAAACATACAGATACTGAGCAGATCATAAGATTTGATTTTTTGCTAGAAATAAACAAACCAAACAAAATATTCCATCTAACTATTCTAATAAAACAACCATGATGTCTGTGTGCACGTTTCTATGACCACAATATTTTGGAGATGCCGACTTGAGGATGTGTTCTCTTAACAAACAGTATCTGCCGCTCCCCTCCGCGGCCACAGACTGCGCGCTGGTATGAGTGCTTTGGGGAGATTCCCTCCCTCAGCCATTTCAGCAGCCTGCTGGCTGGCTGACACAACAGTGTGGGCACATTCAGGCGCCTAGATTAAAGTAAAGGTGACATTACCCTTTGAAACTTCTGGTTTAAATCTCAAGTTCCAACAATATCAGGTGAATGACTCTTTTAAGTAAACCTCTCATTTACATTAAAATACTTCAGCATAAACAGTGTGATAGGTCCAGTGAGCTCGTTTACCATAACCGTCAGGGGCAGCCAGCATCCTATTTCACCACCCAGGGTGGCTCACTTTGGTTTTTAATAGGAAAATTAAAAACATATTCAAGAGTTAAAATTTCTTTTGCTATCCATAGTCTATCTACATCACAGGCCTAACTAGTTAGTCAATTAGAAATCAGCTCTCGTTTGAGGAAATTAATAATGTTCATGAAGATATAAGGAATTTCTGAGGTATTTTATAGATGCCATTATTGATTGAATTTCTAAGCCCAAGATGGAGCCGTTCCTGCCTGGGAAACAGGATAACTTAGATTACTTTCAAGTCCCTTCCCTGGGACTCACAGAATGGAGGCCACCCCAGGGGCCTGGCCCATGACACAAATCTAACCTAAGTCAGCCTGCACTTTCAGGTAACCCTCATCAGGGAAACCTGACATACACCAATCACAACCCAGCAACTCAGCTCAACTAGCTCACTTACGCTAGAAAACAACCTGCAAGCTTTACAAGGAAATCCCTGACCTCTTAAGCCAACCATGCCCTGTTTCTGCTTCACATTTTCTAACACCTTAGAAAACTTGCTCCTGCCCCAAATCCCTCAGGAACTGTGCTCCCCTGCAATCTGTGGGTTCTTTTCTCTTTAATAAAGAACATCAAGGACACTACTCAAGTGCTTTAGTTTAGTCATTTGATACCTGTGAATGTTCCACTTGAACAGAAACACAGTATATCCAGGAAGCCAATCCCCAAATTCCAAGGCAGCTGTGAACGTCATACTTATTTCCTAGTTCCTTATTCATTTCATATTTTTCTCCTCCTTGTTCCTTATTCTTTAGCCTCTGAAAGCTTCCTACCTCCCACCCCATTTTTCAATTCTCTCAGCCTTTGGGAACAGAGACTTTCTGCTTCACGATGTATTAAAGTTTGAATCACCTAAATTGTCTTCTATAATCATTTTTAAGACTATTCACTCTTGCATCCTCAGTGTGTAAGGACCTAGTTCCCTTAGACGTGGAGCCCTGGGCTAAATCCTAAATAGTCTGGGAACCAGCCACTGTGACTAGATTTCTTTTGCCTAATGTTTACTTATAAGGGTAACTAGATCCTACCTCTCAAATGTTGCCATCTGCCTTTAGGGAAATTGATGCAAGGTGGTGGGCAGAGAACCTGAAAGAACAGAAAACTGGGTGTAGAAGAAAGAAAAGGAGAAGAGAGTTGAGATCAGTGTTATCCCATCCTAGATAATCAGTAATTATCTGTTCAGGGTTTCAGCACAGGAGTGATTATGAGTGATCTTAGAGTTTAATCAGGAAAAATCCCTCAGGTAACTACAGTGAAAAAGAATCAGTGGGTCGTAGGTCCAGTGAGGATAAAAGACTGTTTAAGAGTTGGGAGTATTACAAGAAATGAGGTAGAAAACAAACATATTAACTCAGAGAGTTGAATGAAACTGAGAATATGGAGGGTAACAAATGGTACTTCAAGGTAAAGGCTATAACCATGAAAATAGGGGACTAAGCTAAGATCAAAAGGCTCATCTGTGGAGATTTGTTGAAATCATCAAGAATTATGGTAGAAGCAGGGTTAGCAAAATCACAGTTACTTAGGAACTAAAATCTTCAAGGAATGTGGAAGAGTGACCCCAAGTGTGGTAGTTGATGGAACCTATAAAATGAAACTGTCAAATCTGCATGAGTCTGGTCATTTATCTTTATAAATGATATTTTGTATATCACAGGGACCTATTGGTGTCTTACTTTTTTATCGTGTAAGACTAACCTAGTTGAGTATGCATAAATTAGCAACTTATGAATTACTCCATTAAAAAAGTTCCATAGAATTTTTTCCTAAAAAATATTCATTTAATGAAATAACAGTAAATACTTTTACATAAAGTCATGAGAGTGGAGAGAACAGAATAATTACAATTAGGTTTCTGACAGTTCTTTTTAAATTTCTGCTTAAAATTATTGAGTCCAGATGGGCACATGCACCATAAAAATTACAAATTTCTAAAATATTCTTAAGATAGGTAACGTTATAGTTTAGGAATTCAAAGGTATTCATCCATTCATCCTTTCATTCTTTTGACATGTGATCGCCTCCTCAACCAGATATGCAGGGAAGGCAGGCTTTGCACAGTCAATTACACATACATATCTGTCCTTTAGTTAGTCTGATCAATTAATTTGTTTAAATGACTAATTATGGCCTATGCACCTCTCAGTAAGATGGGGATTTATTATCTTGGAATGAAAATAATTCATTCAGAGAATATATAACAAAAGTCAAATCAATCGAAACTGCACCATAATAGAAAAAACTCACTGTGAGTTGAAAATTAAAATGGCATGTTTAATCAGAAAGAGCCATGATCCTCTTCTACTAAAGCTATTAACTAGCTTTTGCCAAGCATGGAATCAAAAAGTATGATTTTATCTTAGTCATTGGCTATGAATCTCATTTATTTTCTATGCTGTGTTTTCCTTTTTCATTCTCTGGAGAAAAAAAAATGCTTATATATCTGTCATATTTTAACCAGTGCTATTCTTCCTTTAAATGTACTTAATATAGCTCAATAACTAGTTAGCTGTATTCTAAATTAACTGCCACATAATAGTAACATTAGAGGATTTCTTCTTCCAGATCAACAGATTCTTAAATAAGTTCAAGATAGATTTTCCAGAGGCTGTGACCAATTCTTTACATGCCTGATTTCTAGTCTTTACATTAACAATGAATTAATTAGTTTCCAAAAGCATTTTATAGATGATGGAAACTGAATTTCCACAAGGATAAGAAACACACTAAAGGTTAGAGTTAACGTCTGCTGGAACCTTTGGAATAGAGGTTGTGCCAGATGAAGTTGTTGCTCTATCTTTCCAAGGTCTGTGGTTTTTTCCATTCTGCCACATGAAAGCGATAATTATATTGCTAATTACTATAATAGCTAACATTTTTATCCAGTGAGTATAAACTGCTAGGCATTATGTATTTTTAAATCTCAAACAATCTTGTGATTAAGACACTGAGGTTTAAGGGAAAGTAATTTGCCTGAGATCATATAATAAATAGTCAAATTAAGTGGGACTTGCATCAAGGTTTTTTCTTCTGAATTCTGAACTACAACTATAAATAGATAACTACTTTCAATGTACACTTTGCTACAATATGAAGGGATGTGGCTGGAGTTAGGAGGGAATGATGATAGAGCTCATATTGTTTTATTTACTTTCATAATTTGGTAGCTCAGATGTTTCCTTTAGACTTCTGCAAAACTCATAAAATAGAAATAATGATCTTTTAGATATTAAATTTTAAACCAATTTTAGGAAGAATCATTCCAAATGATGTGGATGTCTTCATTGGTAGGGGATCCTGACTTTTCTTATAGCATAGATTTTTCTCTCCTTTTCACTGTCACCTAAAATGACCATAATGGGGATTACTATCTGGGTGAGCCTAATTAACAAAAGAGAGGAAAAAAAGTGAGGATAAGGTCATGAATTGGCTCCTAACATTGGTAAATTACCTGTTCTCAGCCTTTCAATCTCTCATTCCTTGTCACCCATGATGTAACTGCACCCTTTGGCCATCACTAGGCATGAAACCGAAGCTAGAACGTGCATGGTTTGTCACAAATCACGGCTGCGACTACACACTATGTTTCAGAATTTGTTATTGTTAAACTATACAAGAAAACAGATTCATTATTCTATTCATTTTTAAAAGAACTGATGACCTGGTGTTCAAGATTAAACTTCACATAGTGCCAGACCTACATGAGGGGCTGTTTTACGTCCAAATCAATGAACATAACTTCAGTGTAATGGTCTAATATTCATTCCTTATACACAAAGCCAGAGTTAAACACGTCACAGACACTTAACAGTAAGGACATGATGGGATGGGCCACTCGGACACGTACCTGAAGAGGGTCTGCACGTTCACGATGGTCTTGGCGTCGGCCATATAGTCCTCCTCCGCGCTCATGGTGCTCTCCTTGTCCACCACCACCATGTCGGCGGCGAAGGTCACCCCACACCTGAGCAAGTCATCTAGGCTTTGATGAAAGTCAACAGAAGAAATATGGACTTTCAATAAATCACAGTATTAACATCACTTCTAAAACTTGCTTGCTCCCTGTGCTTGTACAGGCAGCTTTCACAGCATGTGCGCCGGTAGATGTTAATAGGATTGTAATACAATATTCCTGCTGATACGAAATAATTCCCATTTTGGGGCTCTTTATGTTTCATTAGTTCTCAACTACTTCAAAGCATATGCATTAAGAATCTTATTTAATAATGTTCAGTTATATCAATAAAGCATGCAAAACACCTATTTGAAATCAAATAGAAAAGGAACATTAGAACTTTGTTTTTACAGTTAGCACACTATTTCAAAGATGTAATATCTACATTTTTTATACCTACAGTGCCTTCAGTAAAAGAAGAAATGAACACATATTAATTTAGGTGGTTAAGATTAATAAAGATATATAAAGCTGTGAAATATTTATTTTTAAAAGTTATTTATTTGTGTAAAACTATGTGCTATAGATTGGTTCCACACAGCCAAGAGCATGTAAAATATATGAATATCAGCTGCATTCAAGCCTACTGGTCAGTTTTGAGCAAGTGATCGAATAACCTGATTTCTTTGGTTGCATGAAATAATTTCTAAACTAGGTTACAAGTTCCTGTGAGTTATAATAGTCAGTCTTCTCTATCACTGATAAAAAAACTTTATCTAACATTCTCCCATTGAATTAAAATAAAATCTGAAACAAGGAAACCATTATCTCATTGACTTTGCTTCATACAAACTAGAAAAATGGACTGAATTGGGTAAAGGGAGCTAAACTTGAATGAGTATAAGAAAAATCACAGAACTGATTGAAGGCAGATAAGAAGAAGTGAGTTAATAGATTGCCACATCTTCTGATATAAAATATGAAGTATTAAACTTAATTAATAGTAGTTCCTTTTAGATTCTTGAATTGAAGAGTCAGTTCCCTGAGGATCCTCTTCAAGCACATGATTGGCTGGCCTGGCCCTGTCACATTACAGAGAATTGTTTTCCTTGCATGGTAAGGCAAGAGGCAGAATTTCTTATTCTTATAAGAGGAGAGAATATTAACAAAGCTTTGAGTCCAAGATCCCCAGGAGTAGTCCGGAAAAAAACATTTCATTTCAATCAGGAACAATGTTCTGCAGCAGAGATTTTGTGGCTAAAAATGTGGAAACAGAATATTATTTCAAATAGCCTTCCTTTGGTGAGAGGGCCACAACCATAACATCCAATCAAGATGATGACAAAGTTTAAATCTCTAGGAATCCTTTATTTGGGAGTTCCTTTGGTGTAGGAAATTCATAACTTTTTAAAAAAGAAAGAAGTAGATGGAAAGTGAATGTAATATGGTCCATTATGGATAAAAATGATGCCTAAGTCGTATGCTTTCAACACACCTTATTATATTTTAAATCACTTATCATATTTCAGCTCTTAATCTTTTTTTCCTCATTAAAAAATTAATCTCTCCATTATAATGATCTATATAGGAAAAGGCAAAGATAAAGTGGTAGAAGGTAAGCTTGAGGGGAAATGGATATACAGATAGAAGTTATAACAGGAAAAGTGAATATTTCAACAGCAAAAAATCAATGAATTTGAACCTTGACAAAAATTTCACTATGAGTACCTGTACTAAATAACTGCCGATACCTGTGTACATCACCTAATTCCATACTCAGAGTACTGGCTGTTGTCATTTATTCCTTGCTTGGCCATTTATGATTAAATGAGTTTAAATCTATAGAAAATACACAAAATTAGAATGGCCCTTCTGAGTCATGCAGAAACTTTTTATTCTTCATGTTTAAACTTGAAATCATTTTTATATCCATTTAATATTGTGATTTATTCATTTTTCCTCTTCGTATTAGGTTACCAATTCTTGTAACTCCATGTCTGTCATAATTTCTCTCCACTAGCCTATCTACAACGCCACGGCCTATTTTCCCTTTGCCATGGTTGCTTCACACAGTTCAGCCGCCAGATGGCTGTCCAAGAAAAGAGTCAGTGTGGATGAAAAAAAGCTCCGGGTGATCTACTTGACAATGTCGCCTGATACTCTTCTCTAAGGCTTTCTTTTCAAGCACTAGAATGTGAACGTACAAGTATAAGAGAGTGTGTCTATGATCTAATTCACTCAGAGGTTTTTATTTAAGGAAATGTAAAAACACAGACAAAAGAGGACAATAAAATAGTGAATCTACACATATCAATCACTCAGCTTCAATAATTATCCATTTGTAGACAATGCTGTTTCATCTCTAATCCTAGGACTTTGATCCTCTCAGTTCTTCTTTTCCTTCCAATAAATACTTTTACAGAGAAAGAATTCATTTCATAGTTTACATCAGCAAAGACAGGTGGGAGATTTATTCTTTTACATTTAAATATACTGCTTTGTAATGAATTTTGATAGAACACTATCATTTTAAAGTAACATCACTGGTCATAACATATGGGTTGATTTCATTTTTATGGATTTAAATAGTAGTTTTAGTTAAACTACATTTTAGTTGGTTAGTATTATGACAACTTATCGTGTAAATTATATTAATGTAGAATGAAAGCTAAATATATGTTAATTTGTTTGGCCTTTAATGTATCCACAGCTAATAAACACTTTTGGAGTTGTAAAACTAGTTTTTCAGCGTCTACAGTAGATATCTTTTAGCATTTGTTTTTAAAGGCTCTGGCTGACATTTTTTTGAGTGGAACACATTTTATAGGAATATTAGTTTTATTATCTTTAGTTTTTATATTTTTATAGTGAAATGTTCATGCATATAAAATAAACTATTTTAATACGAAAAAATTGCACACATTTAAATTTTTAATTACTTTAACATTTTTAGAAATACAGGCTCTGATATGTTACTAAACTTAAGGAAATGTTCCAATTTACAAACCTGACTTAAAATAAACACTTCTAAATCATTTTGAAGGTTTCCAAAAGTTATGGTAATGATATCAATGCATTTAGTTGAGTCTTTAGGTTTTTCTGCTCCACTTTGCCAATAGTAGTGATGTCATTGCTATAGATGACACAAAGCTGATAAAGCTTTAGAAACTGAACATAATTGACAAAATTCACATGCAGCAAGATTTGTCTTAATTCAACAACAGATTACTGCTTAGGCAGTTGGAATAGAAGATGTATAACATAAGAACATAAGCTCTACATGCAAAATACATCATCTTTGCAATACTGAAATACAAATCACACTCATCATGCAACACAGGAGAACATCACATGACAGACAAACCACAGGACGTCACACCAGTTAGTGCGCCAAAGACTTGTCACCTACTTGTCAATAGAGCCCACCATGTAGTAAACCATTGGAAACCAACAGATTGCATCCAGAAAATGCATATCTGGCCTAAGTAGCAGATGGGTTACAAAATGAAACACAATGTCACAACAGTGGCAGCACTTCTAGAGAAAGGAAGTAAGTTGACTTAGTTTGCATTTCCAAAACTAAATACTGTTGGCAAGATTAATTTTAAGTGTTTTTTCCTTCAAATTAATTAGAAAATATTATTTGTATTTGTTATGAATAATACAATGCACTCAGAATTATAAAAACAGGTTGTATTTTTGCTTTCTAAATCAGAAACATTATGGCATTATTCTACAAAAATACTGAATTGATACCCTTAATTATGATTAAAACGTCTTTTCAATGAGTTAAAATTTATTTATGCAGAGGAGGCCTTGTAAAATTATGAACTCGTGATTTTATTTCTCAGATGACCCAAAGAATAGGGGAACTAAATTAGCATGCCTATCAGGAGCAACTAAAGTTTAAATCTCTAGGAATCCTTTATTTGGGAGTTCCTTTGGTGTAGGAAATTCATAACTTTTTAAAAAAGAAAGAAGTAGATGGAAAGTGAATGTAATATGGTCCATTATGGATAAAAATGATGCCTAAGTCGTATGCTTTCAACACACCTTATTATATTTTAAATCACTTATCATATTTCAGCTCTTAATCTTTTTTTCCTCATTAAAAAATTAATCTCTCCATTATAATGATCTATATAGGAAAAGGTAAAGATAAAGTGGTAGAAGGTAAGCTTGAGGGGAAATGGATATACAGATAGAAGTTATAACAGGAAAAGTGAATATTTCAACAGCAAAAAATCAATGAATTTGAACCTTGACAAAAATTTCACTATGAGTACCTGTACTAAATAACTGCCGATACCTGTGTACATCACCTAATTCCATACTCAGAGTACTGGCTGTTGTCATTTATTCCTTGCTTGGCCATTTATGATTAAATGAGTTTAAATCTATAGAAAATACACAAAATTAGAATGGCCCTTCTGAGTCATGCAGAAACTTTTTATTCTTCATGTTTAAACTTGAAATCATTTTTATATCCATTTAATATTGTGATTTATTCATTTTTCCTCTTCGTATTAGGTTACCAATTCTTGTAACTCCATGTCTGTCATAATTTCTCTCCACTAGCCTATCTACAACGCCACGGCCTATTTTCCCTTTGCCATGGTTGCTTCACACAGTTCAGCCGCCAGATGGCTGTCCAAGAAAAGAGTCAGTGTGGATGAAAAAAAGCTCCGGGTGATCTACTTGACAATGTCGCCTGATACTCTTCTCTAAGGCTTTCTTTTCAAGCACTAGAATGTGAACGTACAAGTATAAGAGAGTGTGTCTATGATCTAATTCACTCAGAGGTTTTTATTTAAGGAAATGTAAAAACACAGACAAAAGAGGACAATAAAATAGTGAATCTACACATATCAATCACTCAGCTTCAATAATTATCCATTTGTAGACAATGCTGTTTCATCTCTAATCCTAGGACTTTGATCCTCTCAGTTCTTCTTTTCCTTCCAATAAATACTTTTACAGAGAAAGAATTCATTTCATAGTTTACATCAGCAAAGACAGGTGGGAGATTTATTCTTTTACATTTAAATATACTGCTTTGTAATGAATTTTGATAGAACACTATCATTTTAAAGTAATATCACTGGTCATAACATATGGGTTGATTTCATTTTTATGGATTTAAATAGTAGTTTTAGTTAAACTACATTTTAGTTGGTTAGTATTATGACAACTTATCGTGTAAATTATATTAATGTAGAATGAAAGCTAAATATATGTTAATTTGTTTGGCCTTTAATGTATCCACAGCTAATAAACACTTTTGGAGTTGTAAAACTAGTTTTTCAGCATCTACAGTAGATATCTTTTAGCATTTGTTTTTAAAGGCTCTGGCTGACATTTTTTTGAGTGGAACACATTTTATAGGAATATTAGTTTTATTATCTTTAGTTTTTATATTTTTATAGTGAAATGTTCATGCATATAAAATAAACTATTTTAATACGAAAAAATTGCACACATTTAAATTTTTAATTACTTTAACATTTTTAGAAATACAGGCTCTGATATGTTACTAAACTTAAGGAAATGTTCCAATTTACAAACCTGACTTAAAATAAACACTTCTAAATCATTTTGAAGGTTTCCAAAAGTTATGGTAATGATATCAATGCATTTAGTTGAGTCTTTAGGTTTTTCTGCTCCACTTTGCCAATAGTAGTGATGTCATTGCTATAGATGACACAAAGCTGATAAAGCTTTAGAAACTGAACATAATTGACAAAATTCACATGCAGCAAGATTTGTCTTAATTCAACAACAGATTACTGCTTAGGCAGTTGGAATAGAAGATGTATAACATAAGAACATAAGCTCTACATGCAAAATACATCATCTTTGCAATACTGAAATACAAATCACACTCATCATGCAACACAGGAGAACATCACATGACAGACAAACCACAGGACGTCACACCAGTTAGTGCGCCAAAGACTTGTCACCTACTTGTCAATAGAGCCCACCATGTAGTAAACCATTGGAAACCAACAGATTGCATCCAGAAAATGCATATCTGGCCTAAGTAGCAGATGGGTTACAAAATGAAACACAATGTCACAACAGTGGCAGCACTTCTAGAGAAAGGAAGTAAGTTGACTTAGTTTGCATTTCCAAAACTAAATACTGTTGGCAAGATTAATTTTAAGTGTTTTTTCCTTCAAATTAATTAGAAAATATTATTTGTATTTGTTATGAATAATACAATGCACTCAGAATTATAAAAACAGGTTGTATTTTTGCTTTCTAAATCAGAAACATTATGGCATTATTCTACAAAAATACTGAATTGATACCCTTAATTATGATTAAAACGTCTTTTCAATGAGTTAAAATTTATTTATGCAGAGGAGGCCTTGTAAAATTATGAACTCGTGATTTTATTTCTCAGATGACCCAAAGAATAGGGGAACTAAATTAGCATGCCTATCAGGAGCAACTTTCTCTAAGGGATTTACAAAATTACAACATACCTCTTAGAATATCAACATCTCAATGAATATAATATAAGTAGCCATGCAATATACATAAAATTAAAATGAGAGTAATTCACCTTTTAAATTATTGATATTGTTGAGCAAATATTTATTATAGCTGAAATCTTTACTCATATGCATATCTGTGGAAAGAATCATAAACCTGGAAGCCTCCTTGGAAATCACTTAATCTATTATATTCATTTTATAAAGTTATTAGTTCTTTCATGCATCTATTCAATCTCTATATTACCAAAATATTTTATATAATAGACATTTTAATATACTCAGGCATATGCAAAAAAATCATGTTACCTTGTACAAGAAGAAATAGCTTTTGGAACACAGGTACAAAATGATGCAATTATAATATATATATCTTGATGTGAAAAAATTAACAATAGGTGGCACTCCAGAGACAGAACTGGGGACCATTTCACAGAGATATTTAATTTGTATGTTGAAGGACAACCAGGAGTTTGCCCAAAAAAGAAAGAAAGGGAAATTCTAGGCAAGTGTAGGAAATTCTAGGGAAATATAGCATCTGCAAAATCCCAGGTGCTTATCCCAGCTAGATGAAGTTTTTTTCTCCCTGTCTTATTTTCTTCCTATTGATTGTCCTCTTATTCCTTTATACTCTGAAGAAAAATAATGCTTAGTACAGTGAAGCATAAAAAGAAATCTTCCAAAGAATACCACTGTTGTGATGTTGATTAAATTCCTCCCATCATTAAATTTCTTTGTAGCCAATTTAAATGACCTCATAGTATTAAATACTATAAATGTACCACAATTCATTTAAAAAATCTTAAATTGTTCAGTTCAAAATTATTTTACTTTTATGTTACTAATTGTTGAAACCACAAGTTATTCTAATATCTCACTATTGTAATACTGGTATGTACATCTTTGGATGACATTTTACTAGCATTCGTTTTTTTCACTTACTCTAAACCATTCATAGAAGGGATATCAGTAAATCATACACTATAAATATTTTTAAAGTTTGTGACATATGTTTCTTTCACAAATATTACAACTGTATACACTTCCAGTAGCAGTCTTTGATGGTGACTTCTAGTTATATTTCTGGGCATTGTTCTGTTTCTTAAGAATAGAAGAGACATTTCACCCATTGGTTGAAGACCCTTCAGTCCCTTACCCACCTCAGGATTGCAGACATGTGAGGACCCAAGTGCCACAGACTAGGGCAGCACTGAGATTTTGTGGTGGTTTGAAGAATACTTCTGCCTAAGTCGTTTTTGGGTTATTACTTTGTTTTATTTTTGAACAGAACTCCTATACAGTTCCAGTCACATAAAGCAAGTAGCTCCATAACTCATGTGGCAGAGTTGGGTCCATAATTCATTATTATTGATTGCAGATATATTCCAGAGTGTTTGAGTCTCTTTTCCATCTCTCAGATGAAATGGATGACCAGATAACCTTTAAAGTTGGGGTAGTAATCAAAATATTTGAAATCTGGGTGGCATAACAGAACAGATGGCCAACCAATCAGAACTGAGATCAACTTTAAAGAACCAGTATGTTCTTTCCAATTTGACTGTGTTTTATTTAATTACCATATTACAAATAGCCTTTCTATTTGTAAACATTGTGAACACTTACTCTGACCAATTATGTTTCTGAATATTATAAATCTATTTACAATTGAAATACCATACTATGATATCTGCTATTATTTTCTTTATTTAAATTGAACTGGTCTTTCAAGTAAATTTCCTAAATGGACATTTATCTAATATTATTTTCAGCAATCTTCATGTGACTTTAAAATAAAGCCAAATTCCACTAAGCTAACTAATAATTGTAGAAGTATGTACAATCATTAGGGTACAAATTATCAAAACACAAAAATATTTTAAAGAAGAAAGCATCATATTTATTTGTAAGATGGGGGGATAGATTGCAAAATACTAACCATGGCAGAGCAACAGTCATCTCATTGTTTAAAAAATGTACATATTGATGTGGAGACAAGATGGCGGCATGAGTAGGACAGTGTGAATCTCCTCCCAAAAACATATGTATTTTTGAAAATACAACAAATACAACTAATCCTAAAAGAGAGACCGGAAGACACAGGACAATAGCCAAACTACATCCACACGTGCGAGAGCCCAGCACCTGGTGAAAGGGGTGAGATACAAGCCCCAGCCCAGTGGGACCCGAACGCCCCTCACCCCAGCTCCCGGCGGGAGGAGAGGAGTCAGAGCAGGGACGGAGAGGGAGCTCAGGACTGCTAAACACCCAGCCCTAGCCATCTGCACCAGAGCACAGACAGTGCACACGTGTACGGCTGGAAACTAGGGACACAGGGCAGCAAGACCTCTGAGTGAGTTGCAAAGCTGATGCCCCTGTGACAAAGAAAAGTGAGTGCTTTTTGAAAGTCTTAAAGGGACAGGGATGCAACAGCTGGATGGAAACAACCCAGGTCACAGTCCAGCAGCTGGAAATTCCAGGGAAACCCGGGCACACTAACCCCCTGGGCAACAGCTCTGAGACCCCTCACAGAGGTAAACAGCCAAACAGCCCCCCGTCCATTACCCCTCCAGGGCCCGGTCATAGCAGAGAAGCAGCCTGAGGCTGGCCATGCCCTCAGCAAGGGAGCTTCCTCCATACCGGCTGGGCAAGACACAAAGACCCAGTCTACACACAATTGCCCAAAACAAGCCACTAGGAGTCGCAGTTGTCCCAGTAAAGAAAGGCCAGTAGCGAGTGGAGAGTTTGGCTCTCCCAGCTGACAGTCAATCAACATGGAAAGGCAAAAAAATTTGATCCAGACAAGACTAACCCAGACAGCTTCGGCATCTGCTACATCTTCCAGTGAGAAGGAACCTGGGGAGAAAGATTTAACCAGTCTTTCTGAAAAAGAATTCAAAACAAAAGTCATAACCATGCTGATGGACTTCCAGAGAAATATGCAAGAACTAAGGAAGGAGAATACAGAAATAAAACAAGCTCTGGAAGGACTTCAAAACAGAATGGACGAGATGCAAGAGACCATTAATGGACTAGAAAACAGAGAACAGGAACACAGAGAAGCTGATGCAGAGAGAGATAAAGGATCTCCAGGAATGAAAGAATTCGAAGAGAGCTGAGTGACCAATCGAAATGGAACAATATCCACACTATAGGGGTACCAGAAGAAGAAAAGAGAGAAAAAGGGATAGAAAGTGTCTTTGAAGAAATCATTGCTGAAAACTTCCCCAAACTAGGGGAGGAAATGGCCTCTCAGACCACAGAGGTACACAGAACTCCCATGACAAGGGATCCAAGAAGGACAACACCAAGACACATAATAATTAAAATGGCAAAGATCAAAGACAAAGACAAAATATTAAAGGGAGCAAGAGAGAAAAAAAGGTCACCTACAAAAGAAAACCCATCAGGCTATCATCAGACTTCTCAACAGAAACCCTACAGGCCAGAAGAGAATGGCATGATATACTTAATGCAATGAAACAGAAGGGCCTTGAACCAAGACTACTGTATCCAGCATGATTATCATTTAAATATGAAGGAGGGATTAAACAATTCCCAGACAAGCAAAAGTTGAGGGAATTTGCCCTCCACAAACCACCTCTACAGGGCATCTTACAGGGACTGCTCTAGATGGGAGCACTCCTAAAAGGAGCACAGAACAAAACACCCAATATATGAAGAAGGGAAGAGGAGGAATAAGAAGGGAATGAGAATCTTAATGTTGGTATATTCTGAAAAAATAATGCCACAAAGTTACAATATGTTCAGAAGGCATTTCTGTTTTGAGAAACTTATTTAAAAAAATTTTAAGCAGAGATGAAACAGCAGATTTTTCTCTCATTTAGTTCAGCATGAAATTTGCATCACTTTGGATTTAAGAGGAGAGTTGGAGGATCCTAAAAATATGGTATTGATCTAACAACCATTGGTTACTAACTTCAAGTCACAGAGAAGAATGTCATAATTTTAGAATACAATGGATTTGACCATACCATTAAGTGACCTGTATTTATATTTACAATAAAGATTTTGAAATACTTAAGTAGTCTGATTTCACAAGAGTGTTATTAATCCAACATTTTCAAAATAAATTAGTATGGTAAAGCATTAATTTTTCATGTTGTATTATAAGGTATATATTTTACTACTGGAAAGATTTTCCCATACATTTCCCTTATTCTCTGATAATTGATTGTTCCTTAGAAAGACAATAAAGTTGTTCCGTTTGGGCAGAGATTTTTCAGGCCAGTTGATTAAATTAAGGAAAACAACTATAATTATTTCAGTGGCATGTTTCCCACTGATATTGAGTGATGACCACTTGCAAATACTTTAAATAAAAGTCTGAGCTATTCCAGTGATGGCTTAAGTGGTATTTGGGTTGCTAACCATATTCAATGATTGCTTTGTACCATAGCAAAGAATGCATCTCCCAGTGAATCACGTGCCATAATGTATCTGATTTACAATATTTTAAGCAAATTAAAATAAATTATTTTTAACATAATAATAAAAACTCTTTGTTGTGTTTGTGTATTTTAAAATATACTTACGGATTATCCAATAGCAGTACTATGGGATTAAGTTCTTTCTTTGGTCTATAATATGCCCTGAGAGGAACAATAAAATTATACAATCCATTTCCAGCTGTTTCAGCTGCAACTATAATTATTTTATTTTTGAATCCATAGGCTTTTGCATCCTCATAGTAGTTATGCTGGCAACTCTAGAGAAGAAAAATTATACAAAGAAATGCCATTTTTATACTCTACTAAAATTTGGTGAAAAAATTTGGGGTCTATGGAAATACAAAATTAATCTAACTTAGCAAGTCCTTTATTTTCTAACAAATTACATAATAGTTACATGTTTCTATGTCCAATTCTCCAACCTGCTTTAGGAAATAAAGGTGTGTACAGGCAAGACAAAAGAATTGCAGGTATTAGCTTGGTGTGAGGGAAGTAGTCAGCAATATGTGTGCTCACATGCTCTATTATAAACTAAAACTTGTTAGATGACATCTGGATATCTATAAAACTTATCACAATGTATATGTGTACCAGAACATCGCATGATATACCTTAAATATGTGCAATTTTTATTTGTCAATTATACCTCAATAAATGAAAAACAAATCTACTTCTGACTTTAATTTCCAGAACAATAGTGACATGGAAGTTAAAGTACCTTAGGACATTCCAATGCCTGAATACCTAAACGAAGGGACACTTAAAGAGATTTTTCTTTTTTGTTAAAAAACAAAAACAACAAAACTCCAATTGTCCAAATGTATTCCTGAGCTGGCAAGAAAATCTTAGAAATACTCAAAAGTAAAATACTAATACTAATAACAAAAATAGTAACACACGTTACCAAAACCGACTTTTTCAGAGAGTATTTTGTTATTTCCCAGGGAGCTAGAACTTACTGGTCCTAGCACTATTAAACTGAGATGCTTTTAAATTAATTATCTACGTGGAGAACTGCTTTAGTGTTCTGCCTTTTTGTCTTTTTATGTCTCTATGTGGGTTTCTTTTTATTTGGATTGAGATTAATTGGTTCCCTATGGATTCATCATCAACTCTGGAATATTCTCTGCCTTTATTCCTTAATAAAAATCATAAAACCCTCATTGGAACAAGGCACCATGAGTCACCAGAAACAATAAACAATAGAATTAGACTCACAAAGACTACAGATTTAGCTGTTATTAGATTCAGAAAATGAGCATGTTTATTATGCTTACAGAAATAAAATAGAACATTCAAATTATGAACAGAGAACAAAAGCCTATTTAAAATATTTAGTAGATGTTTTAAAAACATATATTCTCTTCTAAAACTAAAAAGTTTAACAATTAGAAATAGAAACTCAAAAGATGGTTCAGGTTGCACATGGGATGCATCTGAAGGGAACTACTATGGGACAGAGTCGCAGTGATTACTCAGGTAGTACGGAAAAGTTAAGGAACTTGGAAAATACTGTGAGAACATATGGCATATATTTAAACAACACACCTGAAAAAGAGCTGAAAGATTCAGAAAGAAGCCCTATCTAAGAAAGTATTGACTGAGGATTTTCTAGAATTAATTAAATACCTAAATCTTCAAGTTCTGGAAATCCAGTGAATCTTAATACAGACACTTGAAGAGAAATCCAGTGTCATAATAAGAATCAAGAACTGCCAAGACAGTAAGATCTTAAAAGTAGTCAGATGAAAAGAGAGACTGCCTAAAAGGAATACAAACTAGATGATGGCTGATTTCTCAACAGAAATATGGAGCCCAGAAAACAGTAAACAAAATCCTAATGTGCTAAAACAAAAAGAAAACTTACAGCCTGGAACTGGACACCCAGTAAATTTATCTTTCAAAAAGGAAGACAAAATAAGTATATTTCTAGGGAAACTAAAATTGAAAGAATTTACCACTAATAATATCTCATTAAGAGAATTTCTAAAAACTAATCAAAGGAAGTAGGGAAATTAAGCCAGAAGGAAGGTTTAAGGCATAAGGAGGAATGGAGAAAAAAAGAAATGATAAAAAAGGGCAATACATCTTCATTGGAAGTATGACTGGAGAATTACTTAAATATAGGCAGGATGTGAAACCACAGGAAGGAACTGAGTCACTCCAAAGAGGTCATGGAGGAAGAGTAACAGATTGATGTTGACATTAAAAAGAACTTCAATACTTATTAGATAAAATGAGGGGAAAAACTAATCTAAGAGACATAGGAGTAGCTTAATCAGTAAGAAAAAAGAACAGAGAGAAGAGGGAGTTGAGTGTTCATAACCCCTGACCAGGAAGAAGCCTGAGGACACTGATGGGCGATGAACCGGGAACACGATCCCGGCTCACGCATTTCACAGATGCATCAGGATTGACTGTATGACCTCATCTCCTCACCACAAAGCAGGCGCTCATTTCTGCAGCAGACCACCACCACCAGACAGTCAAATGCTACCTAAATAATGGAAAATCCCAGATGTCATCAGCCAGTCACTAGCACTCAGAAACTTTGCCTTCTTGATATGGTAAAGAAGCAAACTTACAGCCTTTTGACTTTAAAAGACCCTCCACTGCTCCTCACCGATCCTCATATCTGAAAGCTTTTCAGTTATCAGGTTCTCAGCTTGGAGATAAATCACTTCCACTCTGGTATCCCAGCATTTTTTTTTTCTCTCTTTGTGCGTTAAAAAGTAAAATGCCACCAGAAATTAATCTAGGTTTTGTGGGGTCTAAAGCTTATATTATTTGGGAATCCTCCTTAAGGGAAATAATACCAATGTTATAAATAAAATATTAATCACAGGTTCTTGGAAAGAGCCAATACAAGTGAAAGGCTCTGGAGCTTAAGATTCACTCATGTTACGAAAAATACACAACTAGAGCTATGAAATGCTGCAGAACAAAAAAGTGAAACAAGGATTGGAAAAATAAATAAGTCATTGAGAGAAGGAGCAGTCCATCTTTAGGGGCCCTGATGAATATTTGGGAGCAATAGCAAAAATTCACAAGACTTCAGGAAGATAAAGGTAGAAACTTTATGTTTATCATATGAAAAAATAATACTAGCAAGAATATTAACAAAATGCATTAAGTGCTTACTCATTTATTAAGTTCCTGGCACTGTGTTAAGCTTTTTGCATCAACTAAGTTATACACTTCTCACAAGAGTCCTGTGAGGCTCATATTAAAATTACAACAATTTTACAGATGTGGAAACTGAAATTTAATGGTAAAGCTATTTGCCTAAATTGTAAAACTTGTAAAACCATATTTTAATTCTGGTAAACCCCAAAATTTCAGGTAAAATAAGAAATTCTTGGTTGGAATTGGTGGCATATTTTAATTTCTGGTAGATGGAGGGCTTGGGAGTCTTCTTTTTATCTGCTTTCTTATTCATCAGTAAGTAAATTCTCATACAGGTTATGCCCAATGGCCATAATGCCTGGTAAATGCCTGGTAAAAATGAATGGTGTACATTTGGCCAAACTGATTGTGGGAGACTGAATGTTGACAGTGCACAGGTTTGAAATTCTGGCACCTTTGTTTTCCTCTTTAAATACACGACTGATTCATTGGGTCCTTTAATAGAGTTGAAGCATTTGAGTAATCTTCAGTGTAGTTAAGAAAGTAAAATTCACCACCTTATGTATTGCATTTACATTTGAAAAAGATAACATTTAAGCTATTTAGTCAAAAGATTGTACAAAATTATTTAAATATGTGTAATTACAAAATGCCATGATTTTAGTTTTGGAGACAATAACAGCAACAGGCACTTACCTTGTCTAGTCTTAAGCAGCAAAATGGTACTTTTTCATGAAGGAGATGACAAAAAGTGGGTGAACTTCCTATATATGGAGAGTAAGGTGGGTAGCCTTTAGCATATCTGTAAAATAATACGAAATATATTGATTGCCTTTAAAAATGCATGTAAAGTTGGACAATTAAGTTATAGCCATGTTCCTCTATTTTGATAAAGTTAGATATTGTAATTCATACTGTCACAGTTACACTTTGATAAAGAAATAGTTTAGAACAGGGATAGGCAAACTAGGGCCCAAAACCAAATCTGGCCCTTCACTTGATTTTATAAACTAAACTGTTTTTTATATTTTTAAATGGTTAGAAAAAAAGCAAAAAAATATTTCATGTGACAGGAAAATTATATAAAATTCAAATTTCAGCATCCAGAAGTAAAGTTTACTTTAGAACACAGTCAGGCTCATTCATTTTGTGTATTGTGTATGGTTTCTTTCATGCTTTAAAAAAAGAGTTGAGAAGTTGCAGAAAAGACTACATGGTCCATAAAGCCTAAAATATTTACAAACTGGTTCTTTCATAAAAAGCTTGCCAATCCTCTGTTTAAAAGATTTAGGCAGATTTTAAAAAATCAATAATTGTTATAAAACATATTTAAAGCAAAATGCATTATTATGATTCACTGTATTAGTATTCATTAGTTATGGATGCATAAACCAAAATTGAGTAAGTGATTGAGATAATTATTTAAACCTCCACCAAAAACAGAATTTTACTGGAACCATGTTTAAAACATTATCAAAGGTATTCACTTTAGTTTAAACCAACATTAACTGAACTTCTATTATGTGAAAGATATTGAGAGAAGTGTTTGAGTGGTGTTACCACTGCCACTACTACTAGTATTACTACATCAAATAATTATTATTTTGGAGAAAAGATGGTGGTATAAGAAGGCAAAGCAGAAACCTCCCCCAGAATCACACTGAACATGAAAATACAGCAAATACAACTAAACCTGAAAATGACATGCAAACTGCAGAACTGACTACCTACATCTGGGGAAGAAGAGAAGACTGTACAGAAGAGGGTAAAGTTAATAAGAATCAAGAACTGCCAAGACAGTAAGATCTTAAAAGTAGTCAGATGAAAAGAGAGACTGCCTAAAAGGAATACAAACTAGATGATGGCTGATTTCTCAACAGAAATATGGAGCCCAGAAAACAGTTAACAAAATCCTAATGTGCTAAAACAAAAAGAAAACTTACAGCCTGGAACTGGACACCCAGTAAATTTATCTTTCAAAAAGGAAGACAAAATAAGTATATTTCTAGGGAAACTAAAATTGAAAGAATTTACCACTAATAATATCTCATTAAGAGAATTTCTAAAAACTAATCAAAGGAAGTAGGGAAATTAAGCCAGAAGGAAGGTTTAAGGCATAAGGAGGAATGGAGAAAAAAAGAAATGATAAAAAAGGGCAATACATCTTCATTGGAAGTATGACTGGAGAATTACTTAAATATAGGCAGGATGTGAAACCACAGGAAGGAACTGAGTCACTCCAAAGAGGTCATGGAGGAAGAGTAACAGATTGATGTTGACATTAAAAAGAACTTCAATACTTATTAGATAAAATGAGGGGAAAAACTAATCTAAGAGACATAGGAGTAGCTTAATCAGTAAGAAAAAAGAACAGAGAGAAGAGGGAGTTGAGTGTTCATAACCCCTGACCAGGAAGAAGCCTGAGGACACTGATGGGCGATGAACCGGGAACACGATCCCGGCTCACGCATTTCACAGATGCATCAGGATTGACTGTATGACCTCATCTCCTCACCACAAAGCAGGCGCTCATTTCTGCAGCAGACCACCACCACCAGACAGTCAAATGCTACCTAAATAATGGAAAATCCCAGATGTCATCAGCCAGTCACTAGCACTCAGAAACTTTGCCTTCTTGATATGGTAAAGAAGCAAACTTACAGCCTTTTGACTTTAAAAGACCCTCCACTGCTCCTCACCGATCCTCATATCTGAAAGCTTTTCAGTTATCAGGTTCTCAGCTTGGAGATAAATCACTTCCACTCTGGTATCCCAGCATTTTTTTTTTCTCTCTTTGTGCGTTAAAAAGTAAAATGCCACCAGAAATTAATCTAGGTTTTGTGGGGTCTAAAGCTTATATTATTTGGGAATCCTCCTTAAGGGAAATAATACCAATGTTATAAATAAAATATTAATCACAGGTTCTTGGAAAGAGCCAATACAAGTGAAAGGCTCTGGAGCTTAAGATTCACTCATGTTACGAAAAATACACAACTAGAGCTATGAAATGCTGCAGAACAAAAAAGTGAAACAAGGATTGGAAAAATAAATAAGTCATTGAGAGAAGGAGCAGTCCATCTTTAGGGGCCCTGATGAATATTTGGGAGCAATAGCAAAAATTCACAAGACTTCAGGAAGATAAAGGTAGAAACTTTATGTTTATCATATGAAAAAATAATACTAGCAAGAATATTAACAAAATGCATTAAGTGCTTACTCATTTATTAAGTTCCTGGCACTGTGTTAAGCTTTTTGCATCAACTAAGTTATACACTTCTCACAAGAGTCCTGTGAGGCTCATATTAAAATTACAACAATTTTACAGATGTGGAAACTGAAATTTAATGGTAAAGCTATTTGCCTAAATTGTAAAACTTGTAAAACCATATTTTAATTCTGGTAAACCCCAAAATTTCAGGTAAAATAAGAAATTCTTGGTTGGAATTGGTGGCATATTTTAATTTCTGGGAGATGGAGGGCTTGGGAGTCTTCTTTTTATCTGCTTTCTTATTCATCAGTAAGTAAATTCTCATACAGGTTATGCCCAATGGCCATAATGCCTGGTAAATGCCTGGTAAAAATGAATGGTGTACATTTGGCCAAACTGATTGTGGGAGACTGAATGTTGACAGTGCACAGGTTTGAAATTCTGGCACCTTTGTTTTCCTCTTTAAATACACGACTGATTCATTGGGTCCTTTAATAGAGTTGAAGCATTTGAGTAATCTTCAGTGTAGTTAAGAAAGTAAAATTCACCACCTTATGTATTGCATTTACATTTGAAAAAGATAACATTTAAGCTATTTAGTCAAAAGATTGTACAAAATTATTTAAATATGTGTAATTACAAAATGCCATGATTTTAGTTTTGGAGACAATAACAGCAACAGGCACTTACCTTGTCTAGTCTTAAGCAGCAAAATGGTACTTTTTCATGAAGGAGATGACAAAAAGTGGGTGAACTTCCTATATATGGAGAGTAAGGTGGGTAGCCTTTAGCATATCTGTAAAATAATACAAAATATATTGATTGCCTTTAAAAATGCATGTAAAGTTGGACAATTAAGTTATAGCCATGTTCCTCTATTTTGATAAAGTTAGATATTGTAATTCATACTGTCACAGTTACACTTTGATAAAGAAATAGTTTAGAACAGGGATAGGCAAACTAGGGCCCAAAACCAAATCTGGCCCTTCACTTGATTTTATAAACTAAACTGTTTTTTATATTTTTAAATGGTTAGAAAAAAAGCAAAAAAATATT